GTCCTTTCGATTGGGTTATGTTTCTTTTGCCTATAATAATGTATTCCTTGTGATTTTGATCAGATTCGGCACGCGAGGAGGTTGATTCCAGAGGAAAAGGCATAGCGAGCTAGACTTGTGGCCGGCTTGAGGTGAGTAATACATGTAGATGATGACCTGAGGGTTTGAAACCCCGGTATATCGCATTGTGACGCTATATTGAGGCGAGACACGTACTCTATGACGAGTGCGGGGTCGTTTGTGATTGGGGACTGTGACTTAGTCTGTCCCGAGTGATGTTCATGGTGTGTTCTTGACTAGAGATTGATTGGTAATCATCCTACTTGGATTTTACAGATATATTTGGGCTTTGTGCCGATTATTTGAATCCTTCAGGCGTTATTATCACTGTTTCCATGATACTTAGCATGTTAAATGATTTCAGTTCTGAGTTAAACACTGTTTTGAAATGTTCAGTCCTATTTCTAAGATTTAAAACTTAAACTACATTTTCTAACGTTTGGAGCTGAGAGCTATTACTTAATATTGCCCGAGTGGCTTACTTGCATATTCTGGACTGAGTGTGGATCGGGCTGCACGCCGCAGCGATGTTATATTGATATTGCGCTTGGGCTGTAGGAGCCCCTCCGGAGTCTGAACCCCCACAGTGAGCGCGGGTACCCAAATGGATCGGGCTGCGCGCCGCAGCGGTCATATGCATTGCATTGCATTCATGCATTGATATTTATTTGCTTTACCTGTCATTTGATTTGCTGTTATCTCACCGTTAAATGTGCTGGCTTGCCAATTATAGCTTTACATTGTAATATCTCGTGATTTCTTATCTTCAGCCTATCTATGCTACTGAGTTGGAGTACTCACTTTACTCCCTGCACCATGTGTGCAGATACAGGTGTTCCGGAGGCTTAGTAGAGTTGTTGCTGCTCTCCAGATTATCACAGGAGACGTCGAGGTAGCTGCCAGGCGTCCGCAGGACCCGACTTCTCCCTTATCCCTTTTTATTTGTCCGCAATCTAGACTCTTGTATTATTGTGGATTCACTACTCAGTTGTATCTAGAGGCTCTAGAGTCGTGACCCCAGATCTGTTGGGAGTTGTTTTGATAGTTGTTATGGTTTTCCGTATTGTTTCTATTTATTATCGGGTTGGTGATCATTGTTAACTGCTAAATTAACTCTCTTAATTGGTAATGGGTCTTCGTACTCGGGTTGAGAGTGTTCAAATGGTCGGGCTTGCCTAGCAATTGTGTTGTCCGCCATCACGACCGGGATTGGGGTCGTGACATGTACTGAGTATGTATAGAATGAAAATCAATAACTACTAGACATGAGAGAAACATGGAATAAAAGACTCAACATATATATCTGAATAACTCTGTGAATCATTTAATATTATAATGTCGTGCATATGCTTATAATTATCATACCATGCATGGGTATATGCGTTCATAGCATCATCAAGCCTCTGAGAGCATCCCATCATATCATTTCAACCACTGTGGGCAAATCATCAACATATACCAGCTAATCAGGTGGTGGTGCGTATATAACGCCATAACCTTTTCCCATATCCCATATACATATAATATACATATATACGTGTATAATGCCATCTGATCATGGTTCAATGTAAATGAATGTAATGCTTGAGTAGTATCATGAAGTAAACTTTTTTTCAACTTACGTATTTTTTTAAGACCCATGAACAGATGATAGAATAATATGACACATGGGGAATCAAGAAAATAAGCATCTCTAATATTTCTATGAATAGAGTCATATATGGAAGTTGTGCATTTGCACGTTTTGTTTGTGTCGTATGGAGCATGCCAAAAGAAAGAAGGGATAACTTTAATATACCTGAGCCGATTCACTTGACAATCCCTCTAACACCCGTCTATTATGAAAAATGTGTAACGGCGGATCGAAGTAGAAATTTTTTTTATGATATTCTTGAGAAAGAGTGCACTGTATTTCTTAAAATTGCAAAATCTCACACTATATTGTATTATAAAATTTGAAGTGAGCTATGGAGCTCCACCCGTAGCAATTCCCTCATATACAATGTTGATGAGAATATCTTAAAATGCTTAGCTTCTCCAACAACTGTAATAAAATTTTTATAAATAGTTGGTCTTTTTGTGGGCCTCACATGTTAGATATTAAGACACCTACTCCTCTAAATATGCCACCTATATTTGAACTTTAAGAGTCAAATTTTGTGGCATTATATGCTGCCACGTTAAGGATTCCTTGGTATTATCCAAGGTTCTTAATTAATCATCCACTAACTCTTAATTAACTTGTTAATTTCGCCCATTAATCAATTATCCACATAATTAAGAGTTATTTCAAATTACTTAATATACTATTCACTTGGAACATACCTTATACACCTTACTATCATGATCATGAGGTGCCTTGTATGGTAGTGGTCCATAAGTACCGGATATTTTAGCTCGGGCTGTATTTTATCCCAAAATGTCAAACTTTGAAATTTATTTTTTTCGATTTGGTTACCCTCTCAAATTCAAGAATTTACTCATCACTTGTTTGATATAGCATAATGCTTATAGTCTCAAAATAAACCCATTCCGAACATACATTGATTAACTTACGACGAATCTTTACATTTTGGCCCGTGAGTTGACTTTTGTTGACTTTATAGTAATGATCTAAATTGAATCTTTTGCAATTGTAGGTAGTTCCTAAAGCTTGTTTTGAATCATTTAGTTGGTAATTTACTAGATTATGTTGGTTCTGAGGCTTGTTTCCAAGGTAAAGATGTGGTTGAGCTTTGAGTTAACCTTTGGAGCGGGGTAAGTGTTGTGGTTAACCTTGACTTGAGGGATTAGGACTTGTTTGCCTATTTCCTACTTGTTTAAATGTTGGGTACATCGTATATGTGAGGTGACGAGCTTATGCGTTGTTGTTGGGATAAAGCATGCGGGTGTGACTTATTTCTTGTAATTTAGTACTATATTTGATCATGATATCCATGCGTAGACTAGTTATTTACTAAATTGATTGTTATTTCTGCGTTTATGGACTATCTGTGATAATTGAGTATTCTTTCTGAAATTGAGGTTGGTATATTGGAACCGTTTTTGACGTAAGGCTTGTTGTTGTTCATTCTATCTCCCTTTTGTCATATATTCATTTTTATATGGTAGGGGAGAGTGTTAATGCATGAAGGGTGATGTCGTGCTGTATTTGAGTATTAATGCACGAAGGTGATAACGTGCCACATTGTGAGAGTTAATGTACGAAAGGTGATGACGCACCATATTTTGAGAATTAATTCACGAAGGGTGATGGCGAGCCGTATCTATTGGTTTATGATGAAAGTGAGAGTAAAAGCACGAAGGGTGATGTCGTGTTGTTATTATTGTTTCATAGTGAGGTTGGGAGTAAAACCACGGAGGGTGATGCCGTGGAATTTTGTTCATTATCTTTAGTCGTTTTGCTGGTTAAGGGCTTATTGGCTGTTTCTTGATGTCATTCCATGTTGTACATATCGTATCTTGTACCCCTTTCGCATGTCCCTTCCCAATAGTACATGTTTAGCCCTTATTTGCTGTTATGTTGTACGCATATTGTTATCCGAACAGGTTTATCTACGTGGGTGTCGTGTCATAACCTCGCCACTTTCTCATCGAGGTTAGGCTCGACATTTACGGAGTATATTGGATGGGTTTTACTGAAACGATACTCTGCACTTCTTGTACAGATTTGGTACTGGTACCAACTGTTCCTGAGGCGTTTCAGCTCGGATTTTCTTTGGAGACTCGAGGTAGATCTGCTAGCGTCCGTAGACCTTGAAGTTCCCTTCCACTTTCCCCTTATTTACTGTTCTTATCATTCGAGACAGTTGTACTTATTTCAAACTCTGTATGTAGAAACTCTAGAAACACGTGAATTTTGACTCCAGATCCAGGGTGTACTTAGATATTATTGGTTTTTGTGTCATTCGGCACTCAGTTTTAGTTTTATTTTGTCTTAGTGGACTTTACTTATTGAAATTAATTAAAATTGGCTTAAAGATCCTCCAACATTGGCTTACCTAGCAAGTGAAAATTTCGGATCGTTGTAGCGGGTACAGACCGTTGGGTTGTGGAAGGCACGAAGTGAACATGTTTTGGAAGATTTACACAAATTTTTCTACCCCTCCTTTATGTTTTGTTTTGCTAAAGAGGGATAGTTCCAAGACTGTATTTGTTTGAGAAATTAGTACTGCGAATAATATTTTAACTTGCTTTGGAAACTTGATTGCTCTAAGGAGATCTTGTATCTATAATGACCTTGCTTAATTGTTAATATTATGCATCTACTTTAACCCAACAAACTGTATATTTTTAGGTTTTTTATTACCGATAGAGGATTAGAAAGGAAAATGGGAAAGCATTACAAGGAAAAGACTTTATCTGGTGGCCAAAAAAATTGACGAACTTAAGCGTCGTTGAGAATAGTTTCCTAACTGAAACTTATTCATGGAAGGGAATTTCATGAATCGCCCTGATTCTATCTCTTTTCATTTCGTTTGAAGGAAGGGATGATCCCAATGAATATCTTTGTTTTTGTTTGTTGAATTTCTCTTTAATTAATCAATGTGTGATATTCTGAATCCTCATTACATATGAATCCAAATGATTTATGTCTTATCCTTCCTCTCCCATGTAAAAAAAAAATAAAAATAAAATCGTGCCTTATAGTCTTCATGTGATAAATAGCTTGCGCTTGATAAAGCATGCTCAATATTTTCCAACATAGAACAAAAGTGAAAAGGAAAAAATTAACTTTTATTCTTAGAATTGATACATGAATTCAATTGTGATTATTGATCAAATCAACTTCACTATGGAATATATTTCGACATGCTATATATAGTATAGATTGGAATTTTATGAGCCTTTGATGCCCTCATAATGTCCTGAAAATCATAGAATGATATACTCAGTGGTAGATACAACACATAAATTTATAAATACGTGTAAATCGTTACTTACTGGACATAGTCGATCTTAATAACGCCAGCGACAGGATTAGCAATGGTTGAGAAGGCTTCTTTAGAGAGATCTAGGGTTCCACCACATCCAGGACAATGATCAACAATCTTTACCACAATACTCTTGCCAGTGCAAGGGTGTGGCACTAGATTTGTTGGACCAGTGCATGTGATATTGAAAGTTTTGCCACATATTGCACCATTTTTCCAAAGAGGATCGCTTGCTGCTACTATAATGATACCTTGGGGTGTTTTTCCAGAGCATGCTGAAGCTGCACCAATAATAATAATTATGCCCCAATTCCAACCAAGTTCAGAATCAGCTATATCATTTTTTTTTTTGTTGTGGTAATATTAAGCAAATAATTGAATGAGACACTTGCGTTGTTGCTCACTTGAATAACATAATTGTTCTTGTTTTGTTTCTAAAGTCAAATGACTCATGTATCATCAATAACCTTTTTATATTTATTATTTCATAAAAAGGAATATGTTAATAATTTTTTTTACTATTTTTTCTTATCAATAAAACTCTTTTTTGTAATTTAAATTATAGCGTTGGTGGTGTAAATAATATCAATCATATACAGAGTAATAATTGTAGTTAAATATCTCAATAAGTATAAATTATGATAACCCGATAAAAGTGATAACTAAGTTGATATTACAAATTAAAAAGTATTTATAGAGTAAAGAAAATTTACACTAATCAGGTGTATGCAACGTAAATCGCATTTTGTTTGCGTACAAAAATAATATACTTACGAACATATTGCGTATTAAATGTGGCAGTCCCTGGTGTAGCCAAAGCTATAGAAAGCAAAGTAGTCACAACACCAATAGTGAGCAAACAAATTTTAGGAATTTCCATTTCTTTTATTTAATTCACTGATATAGTATTTAACCAACAACTATCTTTATATAGTTTTTTTTCTAAGTGTCCAATGTCTAAAATATGGTAACCAATTAAGAGAATTTGTGACGACCCGACCAGTCGTCTCATTAGTTACCACTCCGTTTCCCCCATTTCTGCTCCTTTATGCTTCGTTATCCGTGTTTTTATATGGTCGAGTTGATTTGTTTGAGTTCAGAGTGAATTTGGTAAGAAAGGAGATACTTAGTCTCTTTTAAGAGGACTTAAGTTGGAAAAGTCAATCGGATGTTGACTTATGAGTTAGAGGGCTCGGATTAGAGTTCCGATGGTTCGGTTAGCTTCGGGAGGTGAATTCTAAATTATGAGTGTGATCAGAAGTGGTTTTGGAGGTCCGGTGTAGAATTAGGCTTGAATTGGCGAAGTTAGTATTTTGGCGATTTCCGGTTGATAGGTGAGATTTTGATCCGAGGGTCGGATTGGAATTCCAAGAGTTGTTGTAGCTTCGTTATGTGATTTAGAACGTGTGTGCAAAATTTAGGGTCATTTGGACATGATTTGGTTGGGTTTTTGATAAAAAGCATGTTTAGGAAGTTTTTAGAAAACTTAGGCTTCAATTCGATGTGAATTAACGATTTTAGTGTTGTTTGAGGTGTTTTTGTAATTGGAACAAGTTTGAATGATGTTTTAGGATGTGCTGGTGCTTTTTGTTGAGGCCTCTGGGGCCTCGGGGTGATTTCGGATGGCTAATGGGATGTTTTGAACTCTGAAGAATTGCAGAAAATGCAGCAGCCGGTGCAGGCAAATTTTGGCCTTCGTGATCGCGTGAGGTCCCTTGCGATCACGTAGAAGGAGTTTGGGTGGCTCTGAGTTTTTGCTTCGCGGTCGCGTCTTATGGATCGCGTTGGCGGCGGGTCCTTGAGGTTGAGCTTCGCGTTCGCGTGATGGATGCCGCGTTCGCATAGTGGAATTTAGTGCGTGAAGGTCCAGGAGCTATTGCTCTTCGCGTTCGCGGGTGTGGTGCGGCGTTCGCGTAGGTTCAGAGGCCCAAAGCATCGCCTTTGCGGGTATGGTGCCGCTTTCGCGAAGGGTTATTTTTGGCCAAAGTAAAATTGTGCATCGCGAACGCGTGGGTTTGACCGCGTTCGCGAAGGAGAAATTCCAGAACTGGGCAGAAGGTTTTTAAACATTTCATCTGCGAGTCTTAGCCATTTTTCCACCATTGTTGAGTATTTTTAGAGCACTTTGGAAGAAATTGAAGAGGGATTCGAGGAGGATTGATCGGAGGTATGTTTTATGGACCAAAATGTAAGGCCCCGTAAAAATTTTTGCTCAAAAACCTAGTAGCTCGCGGTGTCAAGTTTCCAATATGTGTTGGGAAGGTGTAAAATTCTTCGCGGTTCGGACCTTTTGTACTAATCTAAGCATTTAAAAATCAAAGAATCATGTTTTCCAGAAAAGTGCCATTTTGCTATCAAGAATGCGATCGCAAATCTAGTATGCGGACCGCATTTCTACCGCAGAATTGAGTCAGTGGTTTGGTTAAAATTGAGGTCAAAATGCGGTCCATTATGCGATCGCATAACTGATATGCGGACCGCCTTTCTATCGCAAAGTGAGTCAATGTGTCTGTCAAATTTGAGATAAAAAATGCGGTGCATTATGCGACCGCAAATCGGGTATGCGGACCGCATTTCCGCCACAGACCCAAACAGTAGGATTGGAATTTTGGAGCACTTTTGTCGTCCATTCTGCGGACCGCATTTCGTCTCTACGATCGCAAAGTGCGACCGCAAACCTGACTCGGGCTCCTAATTTTCTAAATTTTAAACCCGACCCCTTTTTTAATAAAATACCCCAACCCCTTATTTTAACAAATTTTCTGAAAAAAATAAAAGAGAGGGAAGAGAGGGTTCTTGAGAGAGAAAGTCATCTTCATCAATTTGATCCTTCAAAACTATCTGGGCCGCGAAATTTCGAAGTAATTGTCTTCATCCCCATTCTTGCAGGTAAATACCCAACCCTTTTTCATTGATTTTCAGGTTTAAACTAGGGGGG